GCGAATCGTCTGCAGGACGGTCTTGGAGAAAGAAAAAGAAATCTGCTGTGTCACCATTGACCCTCAAGGTGAGTACGGAAAGCCCTTTGAGCATTTATTCCATCTCCTTGATGTTCATATTATGATCAATGTACTAATGCACTCTATAGTAAATCAATTCACCATACAAGTAGAAAAGGACTCAGTAGTATTTTTTTCCCCCGCTCCACTCTAAAAACACTTGGGTCAAAAATAACTAACAGTTGATGCCTTTAAAATTATGCCATTTGCACAGACTAAAAAAAAAAAAAAAAAAATCAGAGAAAAACATCATTTGCGTTGTAATTTGAAATCCGGTTTGAAAGATGGATTTGAATTGAACGCTGACACATTTTCTTCCCGAGCAGGACGCTACCTGGCCGTCGGTTTTGCAAGCGGAGCCGTCCACTTTCTGGATGCCAACACTTTACAAAGCGACCCCAAGGAGTGTTTCGATTACCCCCCAGACAGCATCAGCCACATGAGCTTTTCGCATGACTCCAGATACCTTGCCACTGCAGTAAGTTGCCTCGTTTATGGGCATCTATACACATACAGACCATATACGCACACACACACACACAATAAGTGAAGTTGTCCCTCTCAGGATGTGGGGAAGGCGGTGACGTTATTTCGCATGCAGCAGCCTCAGTGGATCTACTTGGGCAGGTACCGCTCGCACTACAAACCCATTACGGACCTCCTGTTTGGGGTTCACCAGGACAGCTCCAAACCCAGACTGTTCACGCTGGGTGTGGATCGCCTGCTGGTTAGTCTGCAATTGTTTGATCAGATTTGGGAAAGAATGAATGACAATCTTTTCGGAAAAAGGCACAATTTGTCTGTTAATGTTATTGAATAATTGACCACAGTTGGCAGCCGGCATAGACCATGTAGACTTTTCCCTGCTGGGATGAACAGGTGGAGTACGACGTGGAGAACAGTGACGTAGGGCAGGTGGTCATCCTGAGCTCCAAGCGCCTTGAGCAGAGTGCAGTGCCTAAGTGCATGACCTGGTACCCGCCACTGAGCTCCGAGGAGTTTTTGGTGGTCGCCTCGGACCAATACAAGATGAAGCTTTTCAACAGCATGTCCAAGACATGCAGGTAACAAACATAAGGACATTTTTTTTCCCAAGCAATTGAATCACTGTTTTGTACTAAGATTAAGATAAAATGATACTTTTTTCCCCCTTGGTTCTCCAGAAAGGAAAATTCAAAAATTTACCTGCAAGAAAAAAAAAGTTTCGGCCGGCTTACGGCGACCAGACGTGTTGCAGCACTGAAAACATGAACACTTTTGTCCAATGGATTCCAACAGAAAGACCCTCCTCGGACCGACGTACGGAAGCCCCGTTAAGAAAATTGGGATTCTACCGACGTCCGAAAATAACGAGAGTGGCTCGCATTACATGGCGTACGTCACAGAGGACAAGGTCAGTCCACTTAGCATACCTGCTTTATTTTTCATGATGCAAGACCGAGTGAGAGGTCACCCGCTCGTGCTTCCTCCAGGTTGGCCTGCAGATCCTGCCTCTGGACGGCAACCCTTACAAGTCCCAAGCGGTGGTCTGCCATCCCACAGGCGTGTCTGCGTTCGCCTATTCCCACGACGGATTGTTTGTTTTCACTGCAGGTGGTCCTGACTGCACTGTCCTGTCGTGGCAGATAAGCTACAGGTAAACTTTGCATGGAACTTGAAAAAACTTGGACAGAAATTTCAGGATGTTCTCAGAGGAAAGCGGGAGGCTTCGAGAATCAAGAGGGCCATCAGGAAGTTGCAGCCCGAGAGACTGGATGAGTCACAGAAAGGCACGGAAGTGGACATCATTGGCTTGTTTCTTCACTTCGTCATCATATGTGGTGGTATCGCTCCCCCACCCCCTCCCCCAAAAAAGCCACAAGAAGCACCCCAAAAAAATTTAGTTCAACGCATCGAGTTCCTCATCTGAGATGGACAAACTTATTACTAAAATATGAGAAACACACCTTAGCATTTTATGATCCTACTCTCCTATCAGATCTCTGGACTGTGTGTGTATGTCTACTGAAAGTTGTGGCCTGGTGAGTTTAGTACTTACAGTTCTGCACAATATGAACTTTGAGCGTGTTGTGGCTTTTTTCGGTGAGCACAGTGCCCTGGAGGGAGCAGCAGCCTTGGGAGGAAAAGAGCTAGAGCCATATTACACACTTTTAGAGGGAGGCAGGAATGGAGAATTCTACAGGGTGAGTACAAAATTTCACCATGAAGTTGCTTTGGGGTGGAACCAGTATAGCAGACTAACTTGCAATATAATTTTACTTGTCCAGCAAAATTGATCTTGTCTCTCTGTGATGTTCTGTACTGTAGGAAATAGAAGACTTTTTCTATTACTGCCAAATTCATAATCAAGGCCTGGAATCCATGGAAACACGACAGCTGTCTCCCAAAATTCCGCTGACGGAATTGCCTTCCCTCATGCGGGCTTTGGCCTACTTTCCTACTGAAGAAGAGGTATGCTGTGCATTTTACGTTTCCTAATATTGTCCAACCCAGAAATACATGTACAGCGCTGGTCAAAAAGTAAGGACCACTGCAGTACTGTAGAGGACTCTCACCTATCGTGGCCGGGTCTGGAAGGTATTCCCGCAACCAACATGGATCACTGTCTTATTTTGAGCAGGTTGAAGACATGCTGAACGAGGTGAAGTTGGGCCAGTACACAGAAACGGGAGAGTACATCACGGACATCAACCTGGCGGAGCTGATCAAACTCTACATCAACCACCGACCAGCTTTTGGCATCTCGGCAGAGGAGCTGATCACGGCCTTTGAGGTGCTCGGCGAGCCTGGCGGACCCGCAGGGAAGCCCGTTCTGGATAGAGACCGCATGCTGGAGCTCCTGCAGGTCCGAGGTAGACAGGACAAATTTCTGAAATTGCCCCTTGCCCCAATATGGTTGCTTCCCCCCAAAATTCAATGTCCTCCACACTTTTTTGAATGGATTTGATGGAATGTCGAAACAGGGGAAGCCATGTCAGAGGATGAGCTGGCAGAGTGTTTCACTGGACTGTTCGGCCTGTTTGAAGTGAAAGAAGATGAAAATCCTGAGGCTGACTTCTTTAAAACTGACAGTATGTACACCTACTACTGCCGTTACACTGTTTAAAACTTTCACATGTAATATTACTTTATTTATTTATTTATTTATTTATTTATTTATTTATTTTTTTAGATGTGAGCCAAGAATACACTCTGGAGAGTGTGATCCCAGAGAAGATATCCATAGAGATATTTACACATCACATCCTGGGCCTCCCGTCATCATCGCCATCACTGACACCCAAGAAAGGACATAAAGGATCAGAGCAACAGCTTGATGATGACTGAATGTGAAATGCAATTATACATACAGTACATAATTATTATTATTTATCATTATTACACAAGTAAAAATAATAATTTAATTCTGCATAGGTACACATATACTATGTGTGTGTGTTATCATATATAATGCATTACTCATACCATATCATTTGCCTACTTCATGGGTCAATTTGACCCGCTGTATCCTTAGCCATCAAAAGGAATGAATAAACACACGCCACAATGCAGGAAATTTTGTTTTGTGTCAATACTTTATTGGGAAATCCCAGAAATGACAGTGTAAACTTCCCTTCCACTCCCATAGTTATTAAATTAACAGAGATGAAATATTTATCCAAAATAAGGTGTGGCCATGAGAATGTTACTTGCAGGAACTATAGTGAGAATGAGCAATATCTGGGCAGAAATTAATTGTATAAATTGGACATTTACTACGTCTGCACCCCATAAATAATAAAAAAAAATATAATACACGATAAAAAGAAATCCATTAGAATAAATTGTATTTAAATTTTGTATATGATTTGTAAAATGTCTTACGGGTAAATTTGAACTTCAACGTTATCAATAAACTAATAAAAGACAAAGAAAGCATAAGCAGGACATAATCAAATTCACGTGAAGATTAACGCGTGGAAGTATCTCGTCCGGAGTGTGGGTGGGGTGGTTGAGGTTCGCACACGTCCCTATCAGAAGGGTGGGCCTCCCACCGGACCAATCAGAAACCTTCTGACCCAAGACACTTCCTGTTTTAATTTGGAGACGAGCCCGCCTGTCTTTTTTATGAGGCAGCGGTGGACCAATAAGTAAATGCAAGACTAACACGGACCAATCAAAAATCTTGTGACCCATCGAGTCGATGACGACATTCTGCCAGCCCTCCATTGGAGGGGCAGTCGCTTTGGTGTCAGCTTTATTTATTTAGATGTGAGCCAAGAATACACTCTGGAGAGTGTGATCCCAGAGAAGATATCCATAGAGATATTTACACATCACATCCTGGGCCTCCCGTCATCATCGCCATCACTGACACCCAAGAAAGGACATAAAGGATCAGAGCAACAGCTTGATGATGACTGAATGTGAAATGCAATTATACATACAGTACATAATTATTATTATTTATCATTATTACACAAGTAAAAATAATAATTTAATTCTGCATAGGTACACATATACTATGTGTGTGTGTTATCATATATAATGCATTACTCATACCATATCATTTGCCTACTTCATGGGTCAATTTGACCCGCTGTATCCTTAGCCATCAAAAGGAATGAATAAACACACGCCACAATGCAGGAAATTTTGTTTTGTGTCAATACTTTATTGGGAAATCCCAGAAATGACAGTGTAAACTTCCCTTCCACTCCCATAGTTATTAAATTAACAGAGATGAAATATTTATCCAAAATAAGGTGTGGCCATGAGAATGTTACTTGCAGGAACTATAGTGAGAATGAGCAATATCTGGGCAGAAATTAATTGTATAAATTGGACATTTACTACGTCTGCACCCCATAAATAATAAAAAAAAATATAATACACGATAAAAAGAAATCCATTAGAATAAATTGTATTTAAATTTTGTATATGATTTGTAAAATGTCTTACGGGTAAATTTGAACTTCAACGTTATCAATAAACTAATAAAAGACAAAGAAAGCATAAGCAGGACATAATCAAATTCACGTGAAGATTAACGCGTGGAAGTATCTCGTCCGGAGTGTGGGTGGGGTGGTTGAGGTTCGCACACGTCCCTATCAGAAGGGTGGGCCTCCCACCGGACCAATCAGAAACCTTCTGACCCAAGACACTTCCTGTTTTAATTTGGAGACGAGCCCGCCTGTCTTTTTTATGAGGCAGCGGTGGACCAATAAGTAAATGCAAGACTAACACGGACCAATCAAAAATCTTGTGACCCATCGAGTCGATGACGACATTCTGCCAGCCCTCCATTGGAGGGGCAGTCGCTTTGGTGTCAGCTGGTTTGGAGTCAACTTGTACACAAACTAGATCAAAAGAATTTCGGGGGCAACAAACCGGCAACAAAAAATAAAATAAAAATAACTGGACCGGGGGGGGACACTCGTTGTACCTTGGCCAAGTCTCATGACGGCAGTAGTGTAATAACAATCCCTCCCGGGCTAACTGGCTAGCTGGTTAGCCATTTGTTCGCAGTCATGGCTTCTAGGCAGCTGAGTTCCAGGCAGCGGGAGAGGAAACTACAACGGGACGACGACGACGACGATGACGACTCGGAAGCCGAGGAAACGAGCCCGAGCCGCAGCCCCAGCCCGAACCTTAGCCGGGGTCCGCGTAGGTCGCAGATCATCCACAGCGGGCACTTCATGGTATCCTCGCCGCACAGCGAGCACCCGCCGAAGAAAGGCTACGACTTCGACACCGTCAACAAACAGACCTGTCAGACGTATCACTTCGGCAAGGCTAGCACGTCTCACATCTCGATCGACGCCTCGCTCACCAAACTCTTCGAGTGCATGACGCTGGCCTACAGGTATGACACTGGGAGCGAATAGCCAAGAATAATTACCGAGTATTGTAAAGAAGTGGGGTTTTCCATTTACCTTCACCTGAGTATTTATTTTCACGACGACTTTTCAGTCACCTTTTTTTTCCTGGAGATGGGAGTAAGTCGCATTCGGTGTTCCTTGCAGAATCACCATTTTTAGAGTCAGCTATTTCGCCGTTTTTGTGCTCATGACAAAAAAAAACTGTGGCGTTACAACACTCTAAGTAACGGATATGACATCAAGACATGCAAACGACATGTAAACAGACGATGCATAGCATCTATCCTTTATCCTCTGTGGAAAACGACTAATGCACTTAAAGGGAAAGTCAACCCCCCAAAAATTCTTAACGGTAATATGTTCTATGCGCCTCCACCAGTTAAAACACAGCATTCTGATTAATATTGTGTTTCTGGAATATGAGTTAAGCAGCAAAATCCACCTGTGCCTCCCTGCCCCTATTGAAGTATGGATTTACATAAAAGGAAACTTGTGATGAACCAAAATGCATTTTGCCGGGGCACTTGATCGGTAAAAATGAAGCCAAATAAATTTGACCTAATTTCTTCATAGCAGAACAGTTTTGAAAGCCCCCCGGGTCTGTTCACTGGCACCTTCATGTGACTTTCTTATGGACCACTTCTTTCAAACTTGTTGCAAAAACAGAACAGAATAGTGCTTTTTTTTCTTTTGAGTAAACAGGAACACATTTAAGTGCAAACTGCAAGCAGTAAATACTCTCCCAACAAAAAGAAAGATTCTCTACGAGGAGTAATGTATGCAAAAAAATAAACAAAAAAAAACATTATTCATCAATATATAGTTCTATACTGTCAACCTTTTATGCATTATTTGCTGAAAAATTGCCATATTTGCTGCATTTGTCTCTTTCCAAAATGCATTGCGATGCCACAAGATGGTGCCAAGGCCTTTTCGAGTAGAAAAGTAGCCCTACTATAAGCGCTCTTTGTTCATGGTATATTTACGGGTTTAACTATTAATATAGGCAATTATAAACTTTTGGGCCATCAACAACAAAAATCTATCTGTCTATTTATCTAAGATAAGAATGAAGAAAGGAAATAAGAAAGTAAGGAATGAAAAAGCTCACCAGCACTTTTTGGGTCGACAGACACACGTGAGCCTGAACCCGGGCTTGAAACGCTAACACTGACATTAAAACTCAAATTTGAATCCTTAACCCATGTTTAAAACCTGAATCTCTCTTGAAACATTGCTTTCAAACTCCAACTCCAAACACAAATCCAGATTCTCTTCCGTACCAAACAACTTGACATGGGGCAACACAAGCCACGACATCAGCCGCGCTTTTATTGTTTACAGAGGTGATATGCGGCGACTGCAGAGCGTGCGGGAACTCGTTTCGCTTCAATTCATGACATTTTCCCACATACTTTTCCAGAATTCCCCTTTAGTCTGGATTTTCCTTTCTAAAAAAAATGGAAGTAGAAAACCAGAGTGGTTAGTGTGTGAGCGTGTTATATAAAGGTGATTTGTCATCAAGAAATGAAGATGTTTCTATTTATGGATGACAGACGAGGATTCCCTCTGACTGTTGCAACCGGCTCGGACTTGCTGTCAGGACTAATAATAGGGCAGGGAAGTACTACCAGGGAGGCTTGTTCTTGTTGTTGGTCTTTCGTTGAACTTTGCTCCACTTATTTGACAAACTTTTTTTTAATGCTTTTAATCCAAGGTGGAAAAAGGACAATTGACAGGAAAACAGGGGTATTATTGAAACGACATCGGGAGACAACTGGGAGTTAACGTAAATCTTTTTTTATTTATATAGCAGTGAAAAAGGCCATTTCCAACGAATGAATAACCTTTTCGAGGGCTTCAACATGCTCGACAAGTCACAGATTTCGTAAAATGTACTTTACCCTCAACTTGAGGAAAACCTCAAGTAATAGATGCCCCGTTTATTTTTTTTTAATTATCCATCCATCCATCCATTTTCCGATCCGCTTTATCCTCACAAGGGTCGCGGGGGGTGCCGGAGCCTATCCCAGCTGTTTTGGGGCAGTAGGCGGAGGACACCCTGAACCGGTCGGCAGCCAATCGCAGGACACACAGAGACGAACAGCCATCCGCGCCTCGGGATCATATGGAATGTTCAGTCAGCCTGCTATGCATGTTTTTGGAATGTGGGAGGAAACCAGAGTACCCGGAGAAAACCCACACAGGCACGGGGAGAACATGCAAACTCCACAGAGGAAGGCCGGAGCCGGGATCGAACCCACGACCTCTGCACTGCGAGGTCGACGCGCTAACCAGTCGACCACCGGGCCGGCTTTTAAAATTATTAATTAATTAATAACAAATGTTGGGAACTGTTCAAATAGTTGAAACTCAACTCAACAGCTGTTTAGGTGCAAACTGCATAACACTGAAATAAGCATCGGGACGACATCAGAGCAATCCGATTGGATGCTTATTTGCTGGGCTCCCCCACAAGTGTCCAACTCAAGGCTCGGGTGATCCGGTCCGCCGCACAATTTTTTGGTGTGTGTCCCATGAAAGCAGATCAAGTGTCGACTTCAGTTTTCTTGCAGAACCGATTTGTGGTTTTCCTTTTTCCTGAAAATTTGCTCAAAATGTCCATTGTGTTCTGAACTTTTTGCTGCCAGCCTTTACATTTGGTTGTCACGATTTCCCATGACTTGTGATTTGAAACTTAATTAGTTAAAAAAAAAAACATGGCTATAATTATAACATTTTGGGGAAATTGTGATGCCTAATAAAAAAATGAAAGCCTTCTGAGGAAAACCCAAACTCTGACGTGACCAGCGATGTTGGACGCAAGATGTCAGCCCATGAAATTTAAACCAAATGCTCAATGCTATTTTCTTTCCACAGCGGTAAACTGGTGTCTCCCAAATGGAAAAACTTCAAAGGTCTGAAGCTGCTGTGGAGGGACAAGATCCGTCTCAACAACGCCATCTGGAGGGCCTGGTACATGCAGTGTAAGACTTCCAACGCTGACTATCAGTAATACGGTGATACCTCAACTTAAGAGTGACAATGTGGGAATTTCTTGACATACAAGCCAACTTGCTTAGCTGATTTTAAACAATCACCGGCCACTTGTGTGCTGGATCCGATGGTGGGGGAAGATGCGGTCCAACCTGAACATGTTGGGAACAGTTTTTCTTGTCGCAAAGAAATTTTGAACGTGTTCAAATTTGACGGCGACAAGAAAAAACGCCTGCGACCGTTAAAACTGTTTGCGTATGTCTGGCAGACATCTTTGCAACTTTTTGCAACCTTGAACGCATTGTGTCGAAAAAAACAACATTCTCTCCTTCTTTGCTTATCAAAAAGCATGTTTCAAAAAATGTTTGCGGAGGCTGGAACGGCTTAATAGCATTTTCATTCACTTCATTGGGGGACAATTGAGTTCACATTCAAGTGTTTTGATTTGCGTGGGGACCACCACTGTACTTTGGCTTTTTACAAGTTGGAGCGACTCAAGTTGAGTTTTGGTCAACCCGCAGATGTGGAGAGAAGACAAAATCCCGTTTGTCATTTTGTGACCCCTCTGGACGGAAACATAGACCTGGAAGCGCATCGCTCTTCAGAGGTGACGGTTTAAAAATGAAATCCATCTATTCATTTACCGACTTCACATCCTATGTCATGTCATTGTGACTCCCAGATGATCACCACAGAGGGCAAATGCTGGAAGAGAAGAATAGAAATAGTCATCAGAGAGTATCACAAGTGGAGGACCTACTTCAAGAAAAGAGTTGAGCTTGTGTTCCGATCACTTTTTTTTTTTTTTGATTGGTCTTATAGCACCGTTCATCTTACTGACTGTCCCTTCAGTTGCAGAAGCACAAGGATGATGATCTGTCAAGTTTGCTCAAGGTATGTAGAGTTTGGGAGGAAAAAAAAAAAAAAAAAGCAGTCACGCATGCAGCTTGTCAATGCACCCACACATTTTCACACTTAAAAAGAATAATTCAGACTCGGACCTTTGATCACGTTTTCAGTCAAGAAAACAATCATGTTGTTGCCAAGTATCCTTTGGAGATAAAAACTCCACACATCCCTGTTGACCCGCTAGTTTTTTTTGCGACACAAAAAGAAGGAGACAGATAAATCATTTCCAAAATTGTTTTCCACCTTCATTGTGAGTATTGACTTGTACAACTCAATTGAAAAAAAAATCGGAAATATTTTCAGGAGGACAAGTTAAAATAGCCAGCTTGGTAAATACCTTTTCGACAGGGGGTGTAGACCTTTTATGACATTTTACATCAATTATGTAAGAGTGTTTTCCAGCAATGAAAACAAAGGATTGGGTTTCCGACAGAGGTTTCGATCCAAGCTTAGCGTCTCAAATTTGAATTTCATGCTTGTTTTAGGCCTTCAAACACGGGTAAAACTTTCAGTTTTGTTTTTTAGTCGGGGGGTTATGCTTTCATATTAGTCTTTGCAACCAGGTGAAGGTTTTCAAATTAGGCGTAAATTGGGTTTTCAAACAAGGGTTCGGATTTCAAGTCGATTTCAAGCCAGGGCTGAGTTTCAATCGATAAATGTACAAATCAAAGTATTCCGCTGTGTGCGTGCGTGTTGTTCGTGTGTGTGTAATTGTCTACCCCACTTGTTGGCTGCAATGGACCCCGCATGCTCGTGTGATTAACCGGCTTGGTACTTGCATTTGTAACACCTTAAAGGGACCCAAGGAGCAGTTAGCGCTGTTTGGGGAAGTCTCTCCAGACATGCTCCGTGCTTGCTTTTGTCAGGATGAAGAGAGTGAGGCCCCGGTGCCCATGGAGCTGGAGAGCCTCTTCGACATGGAGGTGCTGATGTCCGAGGTGTCTGACACGCTCTTCTCCACCTTGGTCTCGCACCAGACCACCTCCTGGCCCAACCCCAAAGAGAACGGTGAGGATGGCTGAGATTGCCCAGTCGCTTTGGAACGTTTCATGGAAAAGAGGCAAATTCTTTGTGGATTACCGTGACCTGGATGACGGTGAATCTCTGCAGACAGGAAGAAAAAAAAATTGAGTGAACCCATTTTTTGAATGAATAGTTAGGCCATAGGTTAAAATGATTTATGTAAATTTGCACTTAGGCTCACTGTGTTTTATTTTCTTATTTCGAGTCTAGGGAAGTCTTTAAAATAATAGTTAGGGTGTCAAATCATGGTTTTGAGACAGGTTTAGGATTTTACGTCTCGTTTCTGGGTTGAAATAATGATCAGAGGTTTAAAGCCAGGTTTCGTGTTTCATTTGCTGAGACGTCATTTAGGGCCGAGCGGTTAACTGCAATTATTGCCCTTCATTATTGCGATTTTTGCAAGGTTATTTTATTTATTTATTTATTGTGTGTATCAAGGAAAATGAATCATGAAAGACACTTCATTTATCTTTGACATTTCCATTATCCACTTAGTAAAAACTTGCAGTCTTGTAAGCGTTCACTACCAACAACTTCACAAAATACTACTAAACAAATGTGACATAACCACAAGTCGGCAAGTCATAAATCGGATTGCAACATTATGGCAAACAAATCTGTGGCTCGATCATTTCTAATTTTCATGTTACATCAATCCATCTTTGGCTAGATTTTCAAATCGGGTTTGAGGCCTGCTTCATCATTTTAAGACATGATAAGTGGAACCATGATGGTAAGACTCCGGCAATGTTTTCATAGGAGGCTTGTTTACCTTTCACAGCTCATGCGGTGAATGCAGACATGATCCAACCGGGTCTCATGCAGTTGCAGCCCAATCTGGACTTCTCTTTCGATCCACTACAAGGTAGCGGCCGAATTGTTTGCCCTGGTCTCTTTTTCAGGGGGAAAATCCTGCGCGCCCGTTGGCGTGCCAACGATTCCAACAGAGCAGGATTAAAGGAGTGTGAAAGGAGACGTGCACCATTGGAAAATGTGAAAACTCTGACCTGTGGTGCTATTGTAGGAATAGAATAGATTGGGTGCTTGCGCACATCTCATCATCCTCATCACGCATTAATCGTGCACACTAAAAGGAATCACGGACTGGTGTTCCAGTAACTTCTCTCGACACTAGTTTCCTTAACCTAGTAACCCAGAGAGTAGATGATGATTGACTTACTTTTTTTATTTTTATTTTTTTACTAACCGCTTGCTAACATAGACTCTTGTTTCCAGACTTATTTCACAGTTTCCGTCCGCCCGTCTTCCTCCCCGTTTCCCCCACCGCACCATCAGTCACCCCCCTGCCCAGCAGCAGCTCTCCGTCGCAGGTAAACACGGAGCGCGGCGCCTTTTAACGCACCACAAGCAGCGAGTGTAAGATTTTGTGACCCTCCCTGCCCCGTCTCCTTGCCTCTTTTTCTGTCCTTTACAAGTAGTGACACAAATCCACATAACATAGTAATCGTACTAAACTGAATGATGGCACACGACCGGCTGCTCGGTCTACTTTACCTTGTCATTTGAAATGTCGAGATAGAAATAAGCACCTCTTGGCCTTTAAATGTCAATAGTATGGGTGTGTACTCAAACTTTATTTTTGGCGGTGTTGTTACCCTTAAAGCAACTGGCATCTGAATACAAAGCAGCAGGTCACCAATGGTGGCAACAGGCATATATTATTTATCCCTTGCAAAGAACAACTAATACTGCTGTACCGAGAAGCCAAGAGAGCCGCTGAACCTCGATTGTCTCTCTTAGAGTGCCCTCGAGTGGCCAAGGCATGCATGCCAGAATAATCGGCAAAAGTGTGACAAAAATGTTTTAATTTCCATATATTAATATTGCGTTTCTGGAATGTGAATTGAGCAGTAATATCCACCCATTTTTGTCTTTCTCAGGATGTGGCCATTTTACCACTCGCTTTTGACTGAAAATGACATCACAATTTCTTCTGAGAAACTGTGATGTCATTTTCAGTTGACAAAAAGTGGCAAATTGGCCTCCCCCTGAGAAAGACAAAAATGGGTGGACTTTGCTGCTTCAATCCTGTTTCATATTTCACAGTTAATAAGAACGACGTGCTTAGACGAGCAGAGGTGAATAGAACATGTAAAAACATTTTGGGGTTGCCCCCACTCCCCCCCCCCCCGAATTAAAGAGCACTTTGAAACTTTCGAGATGTACTTTTTTCATAGCACAGGAGAACTGTCTTATTTTCCTTTTCTTTGGACCGCTCATTTTTACCGTTGAACTCCACGAACTTTTACGTCATTGAAAGCAAATGACAGATGATCTTTTTTTTTTTTTTTTTTTTTAATATACAAGGCAAACCGGAGGTGTATAGAAGCAAGAGTCAAAGCGGACGTGAAAATAAATACCGCCAATTGAGCCTGTTCGCTGCCTGGCGTCACCCACAAAGAATACGTCGCGACAAATAAACGAATTTGATTGCACGGTTCGTTTTTTTTTTTCTTGCCATGCAGAACGACGGTGGTTGTGGCTTGCCAGACTAAACCACTGCACTCCCACAAAGATCCACCAATGGTCATTGCGCCATCTATTGGAGAAACGCGGGCATTGCCGGGACAAGATGAAATGATTGATTTAGATTTTTTTTTTTTTTTAGTTGGAACAAGTTCGACAGGCCACTATTCGAGGGCTGGCCCTGTCCCTATTCCCCGCAAGTAGCCGGGGTTTACTGTATTGTGTTTTTGTACACTACAGTGCTATTTTTTTTTAAAACATCCCAAAATGTCCGCTTTTATCGGGGCAGGTCTTGAACAAACGAATGGCATTTCAGTTCATCTCAGTGAGGTCAGTTGATTTGATAAAATTGAGTTGCAATTAAAAATTCACCTCTCAAGTCAAGGTTCCACTGCACATGTGTTTTGTCACCAGGGCCAGTTATTGTCATCCATGCAGCTCACGGATAGCCAAATCCCATCTCCCATGGCCAGTGCCACCAGTGGGACCAGTGCCGGTACCATTGAGGACAACTACTTGCCTCTTTATCCGGGGCAGGTGGGGCTCAGCGACCACCCCGATGCCTCCCCCCACAATTCCCTGGTGTCCCAATGCCTGCCGGGAGCCGTGGCACCCATGGTCCCCTCTACCTTGGACCCCACAGCGGCCTTGGGCGAAACCCCGCCGGCTGTCAATTCCGCGTGCACGCATCCCTCGCCACCCGCCCCCCGGCTGTCGTCCCTGGTTCCGCTGTTAGCCGCCCCGAAGCCGCCGCCGCCTCACACCTTCGCCCGCCCTCGACACCTCCAGCCGACCAATGCCAACAAAAAACGAGACTTGAAGAAGATTTCCCCTGCTAACCCGATTGCACCACAGCAGCTCTTCATCACAGGTATGGGTGCAAGAATCACTTTTTAAACCGGGGATTCGCAAACGTTTTAGGTCTAGGGAGAATTTTTTTTATTTTACAAGGACCTCTCATATTCATCCACCCATCCATTATCCAATGTGCTTGTCCTGACAAGGGTGTTTTTTTTTTAACTTTTCTGCCTAAATATTCATGATGTGTTTAAGAGGATGTTTTTTTTTTTCCCTTTGTTTGACTTGCTGTCCTCAAACAAGGAACTGAATGGGGTGAAAAATCACTCGCGTTTGTTCCACTTGCAGGTTATTTCTGATGGGCCCCAAGTTTGAGAAGCACTGTTTTAAACAGTTTAACGGCATTTCAATACTCTTTGTAGTGTACACAAATCTGAAGACAACTCACTGCCATCCCTCCCTCTCCCTCTCTCAGGCGTCATCCCAGCAATGAAAAGTGACGTGACTTCATCTCCCGGTGTGCTGATCACACATTGTGGCGTGGTACGTTCTCAACATCGTCTTAGGTACACCTGCGTACAATACGAATGGCGAGTGTTTTATTTTATCGCCAAAAATCAAGTAGAACTCGGTCGTTTGCTTTGGGCGGAGGTGGCTACTCTTACGTGCTTACACTCTGCACATAATTACGCACTTGTGTGGAAAATGAAAGTAAAAGTAGCCATTCAACTCCTGTAATTAAGTTTGACTGACATGTTGTGAAGCAAAAAGGAATGTCTGATTTTCAATTGTACAGCATGCGATACCCATTTTGGTAAGTTTACGCAAATTGAAAGAAACGTTTCGCACACAAAATAGCTTCCTCGTGACTTATTGAACACGCATCATGCTTATAGTGAGGGAACGTTTGGATGCGTGTGCCCTGCTTTGATTGCTGCCTTTTGGTGTGCGTCAGGCTGGTGGATTCTCTGTCGTACCTCAAAGCCAAAAGTCTCCTCAGTGTATTGTCCCCTCTGAGAACTCGTTTTCCTCCAGCCATCGAAACCAGGAGAGCTCCTGTGGTGTCGGTGAGAGTTTGTTGTGACTCGCTAAAGCCAAATTTCACAAAAGCACACTATTTCCAACAGTGGTGTTGTTTTTTGTTTTTTTTTTCCTCTCTCTCCTCTCTTTAGTTCAAGGCCAGGCAAAATCCGGCCAAGGCTCCCCTTGCGCTTTAGATCAAGTTCCAAGTCCACAGTCCCTGATCAGCAGCAGCACAACACCTCAGGTAGAACATGAGTGCAATCCGAAATTGGCTTCATTTGGTGTTATTGTTTGAAACTTTTAATTGTTGTCTATTATACCGTATTTGAGAGGATTCATTTTCCCACCTGCTACCTCCAACAGCAGACCACCAGAAAGTAAAGTGACGATGACTGATATTTGTATATTTTTCCTAAAACATTGATTATATATTTTTTCAGAATATTTTTGTATTTGTAATATTTGGATTTTTTAAAAAAAATGTCTACATTTTTTTCCAGAATATTTTTGTATTTGTAATATTTAGATTTTTTTTTTTCCTTTGCATTGACTGTATTCATTTTTTTCCCTGCTTATCCTCACTCAAGTCACGGGTGTCTTGAATAATCCCGCGATCTGTGAATGAAGGGTAAGGGCGATGTGATAACCAGTCGGCCTTATGTTTTGGTATTTTTAATTTTATATTTTTGTAGATTTTTTTAATTTTCTTTTTATTATTTATGTTATATATATTTTTATACATTTGGTTGCAATATTCCTGTATTTCTTCCCCAGTATTTTCATATTATTTTTCAAAATATTTGTGTGTATATGTCCAGATAGGTAGATCGCGAGTACTATATGAGGTTTTAAACCCGAGATTCATCTCAGGGCATGGCGCAATGCCCAAAGCATATTCGCGAGTACGGGAACTTTTCTTTGTTGACTTCCTCCACGCATTCCACGTCTGTGCGTGCCACTTACTGGTACATAAAGCAACGTCTTGAGGGGGAAACCCAGGAAAATGCCATTCTTTAGTAAATATCATATTTCATGTCTCTGATTGTTACTTTTTCCACCGCTCCTATTCACGACAGCAAATCACCCGCGAAAAACAATATTTTCTATATCTTAGTATTTTTCATCCAACATTTTTGTCTAATATTTTGTATGACCAACTAATATCTTTGCTGTATTATTTTTCTTGTATTTTTTTCACCTGATAATTTACATATGACTTATTTTGTTGATATTCTTGAAAAATTTTTCCCCCATTATCTTTTACAATTTATTCGTTGTTTTTTTCATTTGTATACAGTACTTGCCTAATATTTCTTATTTGTTTCACATGGTCGTCTTCTGCCATACATTCCTCGTAGTACCTCCCGTGTACCTCGGACAAACGGCTTAGGAGGCGGGGGCGAAGCTTTGACGATGGCGTCTGTTATCATCAGACTGAAAGTGACTTGTGTGCGTGTGTGTTTCCAGATTCCAAGGAGAGCACGCATCGCCGAGCAGAAGCGACGATCAAATATAAACCACTGCTTCAAAGCGCTCGGCGACCTGGTTCCCACTCTCAACAACTCCCCAGCCAATGTGTGTACAATTTACATTTTTTATGATGAGTCAGTAAAACAAAACAAAACAAACCATCTTTTTCCATCGTCTGTGTAAACTTGTGGTTTCAACTGCCACATAGTCCAAATTCCATCCCCTCCTGCCATTTTGAATTGCTCGGTGTGTACACAGATCAGTATTGCAGTCACAATGCAAAAGACGGTGGAACACGTCGAGAAGCTCAAGCAGGAGAGGGAGCAAATGCAAGAAGACATCAGGAATCTGCAGGAGGAGATCACAAGCCTCAAAGCCTCCATTAAGTATGTTCACGATTGACATCTAGATATATCTATATATCAATACATAGATATATATGTATATAGTCATATATTGTTTTCCTAATATTGGCATTTGTTTAATACTTAAAGATTTTCTCTCTCTCTCTCTCTCTCTCTCTCTCTCTCTCTCTCAATATCAAGGGAAAATACGCTTGTTAAAACGTTCAATAGGAAAAAAAAAAAATCAAGAAAACCCCAACTACAAAACATCCTGTGAGATGTAGGCAAAGCCTCCTTTATGCCGTTTGATTTGTGCCACCACGACAAGCACGCAAGAGGAAATTTCGAGCCCAAAAGTGTCTTTTGACAAGACAAGTGCTGACCCGTTCAAACTCTTTTGTGCGTGCGGCGTACGGACGCCGAATGAACGCGTGGCTTAATGGTTGTTCAAATAAATGAGCGTTTGCCTCAGTGCAACTCTTGCAAAAAGATTTTAGCGTGCAAAACAACACGATTAAACACTTGCGGATGGGAGTAAATGAGTTCCCTGTCGTCGTTGGCCTCACGGGGTCGTGCCTTTTGTGTTTTGTCAACCGCAGCCTGTGTCACGATCAGATGCCAGCCACGGGAGCGCAGGTCACGCAGCGACGCTTTGACCACATGCAGCACAGGTTCACGGAGTACGTCAAGCTGCGTTCCCGGCAAGACTGGAAGTTCTGGATTGTATCCTCTTTCTCGTCGTTTGTATTTACAGTATGAGAGCGTACAAGTCACATTCTCTCGGTCCGTAATTAAGACGCTTCTTTGTGTGTGTGTGGGGAAATTTACTGTGGTCGGAAGGAATCCTCGGTGGAACAGTTGCACATCATCATCACCTGGCTTCGGTTTTGGGCTCCACAAAAATGTTGCGGAAGATGGAGCCGCTTTCAAAGACCTGCTTTGCTCTCCCTTGAATCAAGTGTCACGTTGAACCCTTGTAAAATGTGCGCCACGTGTTCTAGAATGTTCTTTCGGCTTCAAGATGACGTGTAAAAATCAGCGCTACAGAGAAGCCATGTCATTTTTTTTCTACTTTTACCCTCCCCCTAAACATCCATCCATCCATTTTCCGATCCGCTTTATCCTCACAAGGGTCACGGAGTGTGCCGGAGCCTAACCCAGCTGTCTTCGGGCAGTAGGCGGGGGACACCCTGAACCGGTTGCCAGCCAACCGCAGGGCACACAGAAACAAACAATCCTCCGCGCTTACACACACACACACACACACACACAC